GCAGGCAAGTGGGGTGCCCGGGTGATGTTAGAGTCCGAGGGGAGGTCTCCTGGGTAGAGTTGCCAGCCTTGCCTCCAGGGCCTGGAGCTGGTCCTCTCCACGACACGTCTGCCATGGGCAAGTGTTTGTGGGGACCTCAGGGGGCAGACAGATCAGGGTGGGCAGTGGTTCCTGGACCAGGGAGGGCCAGGTGGGTGGGTGGGCCAGCAAACTGCCCACCACCCTTCCTCAAGAGGCCGCCCACAATAGGACCAAGTCAGGGACCAGAGTGTCCACCACAGGTTGTGCCAAGGGAGACGCTGCCCATTGACCATGAGGCTGGCGGTGGTCATTGGCCTGGACAGACCCAGAGGGGCCGTCGCTGTACAGTGCCGTGGGGCACTGTGCAGCAGAACTGAGGTTCAAACCCCAGCTCTTCACCCTTCACCACGACTCTGAATGCTTCTAAGGTCAGGATGGGCTGAGTGACCACATGACAATCGACGGTGGACACTGGGCACTGATGGGCCCAGCCATGGCTGTGCTCACCCTGAGTCTGGCGCACCTAGGGCACCTCAGACAGGCTCCGGGATCTTGTCTGACCCTGGGCAGAATCTTGGGTGCTCGTCACTCAGTCCACTGCTGGGCAAGTCGGCCGTGGGGCCCCGGCCTGCTTCCGCTCCCTGTGTGTCACCAGCCCTGGCCCTCCTTCCCTCTGGAGAGGCCGATGGTCCCCTGCTATGCCTCCTGCTGCTGAACTCACTCCTACCCCTCCATCCCCTCCCCTGACAGCCCTGCCACCCCAAGCAGGGTGGGCCCAGCGGCTTTTAGCGCGTGGGAAATTACGTAAGGGAGGCCACCCAGGGCACGCGAGAGTTCTCACACTCACCCACACTTGCGGAGCACAGGCAGCCACAGTGTGGGGCTCCTGGAGGCCGTCTCCTGTCTCGCTTTGTCTCTGTGTGAAACGAGGATGGGGTATCTCGATGAGAAGGCGGCAGAGGGGAGGCGACTCCGAACCTCCAGCATTGGCCCCCAGCCTTCTGCTCACCAAGCACCCCTGGGTCACACAAGGGAGAAGGTGCCTGAGCCAGCTGTAGTTAGCAAGTCCTGCCAAGACCCCGTGGCCCTCAGCCCACCAGCCCCACTCATGTTGTCCAGTCCTCTGGCCACAGAGCTGGTGGCCTCAGCGATGGGGATGGGAGTGAACCAGCTAGGCTGGTGGTGACTGGGACCTTTTCAAACCTCAGAGCTGCCCTCAAGAGGGACTTCCTGCCAGCGAGCACTGTGGATGGCTGAGCTGCAGGACAGGGACAGTGGCACCTTGGGGCTCTCCTTCTGTGTCGTAAGAGTTGCTGGGAAAACATCCTTGAACTAATGGCTGCCACCCCTCCCCAGGGCAGGACCTGACGGCCTCGGTCACATCTGACCAGTGGGGACCACCTATCCAGGGCACCAAGTAGCCGGCCTGGAGGTGACGGGGGAGAGGGGGTGTGTGCGCACACGCCCCGCCCCTTCCAGATCCTGGGTCCACAGAGGCCAAACACATAGGCGCAGCCTCACACTCTACCACCCCAGGCCGCGGAGGGCGCCTCCCGGAGCCCCCTCTGTGGTGGTCAGAGCCTCTGCCTGACACTGTTCAATGCTCAGAGGAGGTGGGAGGCTATGCAAGGCACCAAGGAGCCCTCACTTCCAGATGGGCCAGCCTCCAGGCCCAGGGAGGCTGGCCCTGCCTGCCCATGCCCACCAGGAAGCCGGCAGGCCTGCGGGGCCCGTGCGTCAGGTGTCACACCTGTTGTACCAGAACTTCCCAGGCCAACTCTTTGCTGCCCCTGAGGATGGGGACGCCCACAGGGACGGAAGCTGAACCTGGAGACAATCCCACAAGATGCCAGGCACCTGCAGTCTCCAGGGCACCCCGGCCTGGAAGGGAAGGCTCGCTACCGCTAGGCCCGGCCTCAGTAGGGCGGGACATTCTCACGTTCTGTCCATGTACAGCCATTGAGCGACCGCATGGGCCCACCTTGTGCCAGGAGCTGGGGACATCCTGTCCTGCCCCAGCCTGTACCTCCTGCTCCTCCAGGGCCCGGTAGAGCTTGGGAGGCAGGCGAGGGGACAGGCCAGGAAGGGACAGGGGGCTGCTGGCCCCACTGCCGCTGGACATAGTCTCCATGTCCTGGTGAGGTAGCTGGAGGCACCCTCTGCCCTCCCAAAGGTGAGCTCTGGGGTGGCCCCCACCCCTGCCCAGTGGCCCAGATGTGAGTGTGGACCAGATCGCTGATACTCGGCCCCCAGTACCTCCTGTTAGCACCCTGGGCATCCTGGTGCGGTGGCTCCCCAGAAGGGAAGGAGGGCCTGTGTCCTCCGCTAGACAAGCTTTGACGCCAGTCCCCAGGGCATGGGCCACGCAGGTTCCCGCCCCCTCCAGCTGCCCTCGCCTGGCCAGGACCCTCGGCCAGACCCCAGACCTGGGTCCCTGAGGCCAGCCTCTCCAGCCCCTATCCACGTGGCTGACTTCGCGACCTGCGTGACGCTGGGAGACGTGGGTTCCAACGACGTGGAGTGTCTGGGGCCTTCTGCCAAAGGATCTCCCCCGACCCCTTGATGACCCTGCCCAGCGCCCACGGAAAATTGCTCAGAGGCAGTAGGCCGGAGACACCCCAGGCTGGTGCTCAGTCTGGGGGCTCTGACGCTGGCCTGAGGAGGGGGTCTGCACACCCGTGACATCAGCTGGTATCACCTCGGAGCCTCGAGTGTGAAGAGGCGCCCCAGCCCCATTCTGCACTTGAGGAAATGGCTCAGAGAGACTGAGTAATTCAAGAAAGGTCACAGCCAGTGAGTGACACAGCCATGATTCCCACCCACACCCTGGTGAGTCCAGGGCCAGTCTTCACCAGGTATGACTTCTCTGTCCCATACGTCACCGGTAGCCATCCGCCCCCTTCCAAAGCCATGAGGCTGGTGACCTCACCCCTGCTCACAGCCACCAGCAGGGCTGGTCAGGAGCGGGGTCCCTCCTACATCCCAGACCAGGTCCTCAGCACTGATGTAGGGTGGGCCTGCCCTGGGGAGGGAGCAGCAGGGCCTGAGCTGACCTCTCAAGCCTGGGACGAGGCTGAGGGACTGGTCGTCGGGGATGGCGAGGCCTCTGGGCCATCCTGGGGACATGTTAGGTCCCCCTGTGGGCCCAGAGGTGGCGAGTTGTCCCGGGGCAGGGGCATTGGGTGGTCCTGCTTCCCGCACACAGGGTCTGGCCTCGCAAAACCATGCCAAGGCAGACGGTCTCATCCTCGCAGACAGGGCGTCCTTAGGCACGAGTGCCATCGCAGTGCGTGGTCTTAGGTGCTGTGTTGCCTTCGTGTGTGGTACGGTCAGTGGTGGCCTCAGTGTCTGACAAGGAGGCTGAGCCATGTGCCTTGGGACACCAAGTGCCATCTCTATACCCAGGCCCCAGGTCATTCCCATGATTAGTGCCTATCCCAGTGGCTGGGCGCTGGCCCTGGGGGACCCCTGGGTTCTAGGCACGGAGGCCCCTGCCCAATGTCCCTTGGCCACAAACAGCTGTGCTCAGAGCAGGGCAGGGTTGAGCTGGGCAGGGGTGGTGAGCAGGCCTCCCTCCTGGGCCCGGCAGGAGGAACGTGAGGGGCAAGGACACAGCAGCGTCTGCCCTGAGGGAGATCTGAGCTTCAGGTGTTGGGGGTCTGCCCTGGGGGTGCAGATTGAACACCCAAGGAGGGCCCAGCCCAACCCAGCTGCTCTTCATCCTCCAGAAATTTGAATCTCCTTGTCCCCGGCCAGGGTCATGGCCCTGGGCCTCTGAGCAAGAAGGCTCAGCCAGGGGAGGG